TGCCAGGGGAAAAAATGGCATTTAACTCCTATTCGTCCGCAAGTAAAGTTTGTCTTCTCTAGTTGTTAGTTACTGATGGGCAAGTGTCACTGTGTGCAGGCCTCATGTCAGACACACAACTGCAGTCAGAATCTGGTTGGCCGATCTGCCCCGTTTTAGCACTTTTTTCGAATGGTCTGATCCTATTGGATCCGACTAAACCCACGCGGGAATGATCGGCAGGTTCCTTGCCAATTAGAAGCCAAAATGGGTACAGTAATGACACTCGAGAGTAAGGATTGGCTGAAAAGGAAAAACCTCACCCCTAAAACCTTTGCAGAAAGCACCTAAATTGCTGGTGGTGGGCATAGAATGGTGGATGGATGTCCCTCTCTCAAAAAACCTGGATTAATTTAATAATTTTGTGGGTAAAGGGAATTTATGACTCATATACAAGAGGGAGTTTGGGGACCAGATTTTGAAGGCCTCAGTACACTGGGGAAGGGGAGCGCTGCATCGTGACAGAACCCCCCTCCCCCACGGGCGGCTCCGGAAGCCCAAGACCGACCTCTACAGGGCGGCCTACCACGTGGGCGCGGGCCAGGACACTCTGGATGGGCCAGATGAAAGACAGCTATGAGGGAAGGGTCAAAAATGTCCGAGGCTGGAACCCAGGGCCTCTCCTCCGGCCCATAACCTCCCCAGTCCATGAGGTATTCAAGGCCAGTTCGGCGGCGACGGGAGTCCAGCAGAGATCTGACCGTATATGCCACGCCATCATCCAGAAGCAAAGGGGGTGGTGGTGCCGACTGAGCTTCAGGGCCTGACTGGCCATCCTGGGTTCTGGTTCAGGTTTGAGCAAGGAGACATGGAAAGTTGGATTGATCCTGTAATGAGAGGGCAACTGTGACCGATAAGACACTGTATTGACTTGCTTGATAATCCTTAGCTTCTTAGCTTCTTGGAAGGGAGGTGAGACGGATGTTCCGCGTGGAGAGCCAGATTTCCTGACCGGGTTGGAGCCAAGGTTCCACGCGTCTGTGTCGATCTGCGTTCACCTTCTGACGTCGGACGGCCTGTTGTAGCTGGACGTGAGCAGCGTCCCAGACCGCCTTACTCCGTCTAAACCAGTCATCCACCGCCACAATTTCAGAAGGTTCTCCAGACCATGGGAACAGGGCTGGTTGGAAACCCAGGACGCACTGGAACGGCGTGAGCTTTGTAGGAGAACTGGGAAGGGAATTCTGGGCATATTCTGCCCGTGGAAAAAACCTGCTCCATTCCCCCTGTTGCTGAGAGCAGTAGGTGCGAAGGAACCGGCCAATCTCCAGGGGCCGGTATTTCAAAACTTGTAATCCAGATCAGAATGATCAGGATAACCAAATCCAAGGTCTAAGGTCAGCATTTCCTATGAGCTGCACATTAATACTATGGCGTCCCTTTCTGTTCACAAATTCCCATTCTCTTTCATGGGTTGCCTGAATGTGTATGTGTGTGCAGTCAATGACACCAATAGTATTAGTGCGACTGTGTGTGAGTGGGGAGCACGGTCGTCCTCCAATCAGAGGGTTGTTGGTTCGATCCCAGGCCCGGCTAACCTGCATGTCGTTGTGTCCTTGGGCAAGACACTTAACCAAACATTGCTCCTGTAGCTGCGACTACAGTGTGTGGATGTTAGTTACTGATGGCAGGTGTCACTGTGTATGGTTCTCCTGTCAGTGTGTGAATGGGTGAATTATGTCATGTAGTGTTAAAGCGCTTTGAGTGGTCAGAAGACTAGAAAAGCGCAATACAAGTACAGGCCATTTACCATTTACCATATGCATCCTGGCAATTGAGAAGAATTTTCTCTTAGCTTCAGTTATTTCTTCCTCATTATCCGGAAATCTCACAAACTGATGAATTAGACCAGCCAGGGCTGATGCCACTGAATGCATTACTTGTCCCACTGTAGACTTTGTCACAGCCAGGCCATCTTCAATTACTTCATAAAAAGATCCACAAGCAAAAAGACGTAGGGCAATAAGCACCTGCTCCTCCACAGTTAAGGCATGACTCCTTCTAGTAGGACGTTGTAGATGTGGGCGTAGAATATCACATATATACAAAATGTATTCTCTTCTAAATCTGTAGCGTGCATAAAGCTCATCATTTGAGTACTGCTCAATGAGATTAGCGCATTGGACATACTGATGAGGCTTGTATCGTCTCTGATGGTGCCGCAGGACATGTACAATGGATGTCATGTTGCAGAAGCAAAGGTCATTGACCTTAACGAGCCCAGTTTTAAAGTCTGTGACCTGTGCTTTTACACCTGCTTTCAATTAAGCTTTATGGTATTTAAGGCCTTCCTTAGTGATAGGGCTTTCTCCGACAACATGGAGAAGAACAAAGGAAGCAATTTCACCACAGCAGAGACAACAGCACTTCTGGAGGGTGTTCGTATCAGGCCCTTTTTGGAGGTTTTAGTGGCCCTGGACAGAGTTCTCTGTCAGCCAAACTTAAAAATAAAATATGGGCTGAGATAACAAAGCAAGTTAATGCCACTGGTAGTGGCCAATGGCAGAATGTTGAACAGGTTCGGCTTAGGTGGAAAAACCTAAAGCAGAAGGCTACCAAGGACCATTCAGAGGCAAAACCCCCCCAAACAGGAAACAAGGCCATAAAACGTGGGGAATTCACAGAAACAGTTTTGGACATAATTGGAGGGGAGAGTTCTCTTGTGAGGACTTGGTGTACCTGCTTGACATGGTCACCCAGATCTGAGGAGTAGACCAGAATGTCATCAATGTACACAATCACACATTTGCCAATGTATTCACGGAGAACTTTGTTAACAAAAGCCTGGAACACTGGGGGCTAATCCAAAGGGCATCACCAGATACTCATATTGGCCTGTCGTAGTGTGAAAAGCCGTATTCCATTTGTCACCGTCCCTGATGCGAATGAGGTTGTAGGCGCTGCGAAGATAGTTTGGTGTATATCCGGGCCTCCCGGAGTTGTTCTACTGCTGCAGGCACCAAAGGCAAGGGATAGCAATACAGTAACAGAATTCAGATCCCAATAGTCTATATATGGCCTGAAACCACCGCCCTGCTTTCCAGCAAAAAAGCTCCAGACACCAAGTCTATGGCACAGTCCCACGGTCTGTGTGGTGGCAGGTGGGTGGCGCTCCTCTTGATGAAGACCGCTGCCAGGTCTAAATAGGCTGAGGGGACATCTGGTGTGACAGCGACTGACAGGCTCTCGATGGTGGTTGCTCTGATGGGTGTAGCCAGACACCGGGAAACACATTTTCTACCCCAACACAGCAGTTCATTAGTAGACCAGGAAATCTGTGGTTCATGATGAGCGAGCCAAGGTAACCCTAAAATAACATTGTTCGTTATGTGATCTATAACTAACAGAGATAATTTCTCAGAGTGAAGAACACCCACAACCAGAGTAACCGGGACTGTGGCCTGGGTAATGAAGCCAGATTCAAGGGGCTGATTGTCAATAGATGTAATCGGTAGTGGAGGAGAACAGAGTGACGTAGGCAGTTGAAGTTGGTGAACCAGGCGTTACTCATGACGTTTCCTGCAGACCCAGAGTCTAACAAGGCTGAAACGGATGCCTGACCCATACTCCCAGAGACAGTGACAGGTAAAAGGAATTTGTGCTGAGAAATGTTCGGACAGAGAATCGTACTCACTCATAGAGGCTGTTCTGATCCAGTCATCCGACGTGGGCAGGTGATCCGAAAGTGTCCTGCTTTACCACAGAAAAAACATGAACGCTCCACCCTCTGTCGTGCACGCTCCTCAAGAAACAATCGGGTCCCCTAAGTTGCATCGGTTCCTCCTCCGGGACGGGGGTCGAAATAGAGACGGGATGTGGAGAGACCCTGGGACAATATACATTGCTGCGCCTGGAACTCCTTTCCAGCTGTCGTTCTCTCATGCGGTGGTCCAGTTGAGCAGCCAGGTCGATGAGGTCCTCAAGGGTAGTACCCCATTCCCGATTTACCAGCTCATCCTTTTTTAAATATATTAAAATAATATAAGATAAGATAAGCTTTTACCCCAATGGGAAGTTTTTTTTAACAATTGGTTATGCAGCTTAAACAGAATCAGTCTAAACATAACTTTTCACACACATAACACCAAATAAACTTTCCACAAATAATATAGTTTATAAACTTAAAAGGTTGAAACAGGGTTTTGACTCAAGAGTTAATATTCTTTGGTAATACGGTAAATCGTGCCATACATTTGTTACTTGATCAAACCACAATATTACAGGAAATCACTGGAAGTAGTGTGAAATGGTCGCACAACAATTTACTATAATTTTATTTTGTTTGTCATTTCAGGGAATTGCTATGTTAAAAATGTATAATGTATGTATGTAATGTATAATTAAATGAAAGCTGTATTGCTACAGAACTGTCATCTATCAATGCTATGCATTTGGGGCAAAAGCTAACACATGCCACGGGCACGTTTTATTGTCGGAATGTATACAAATTTGCAATATGTAGTAAATATTGAGTGACTTAGATTACAATTTAGTTGTTGCTTTGAGCTAGTTTGATTTGGATTGTATTTTTTGGGGGCTTGTGCCATGCACTATTTTTTACCACTACTATCAGTAGCCAAAAAAGTAAATACATTATTTAAATATGCCTTAAACTTAAATGAAATTGTTTTAAATATCCATCCTTACAAAAAAAAAATAACACGAGCAGGTTATCTATGCTAGTAGATAGCTAATATTTCTCCCAACCTACTAAAACATTTTGTTGCTCTAAGGTTGCACATTGTTGTCAATAGATGTGGCTTCAGGTCAATTTCTTACTAAACCTTCAATATATTTGAATGCAAAACATATTGCTTAAGACATGCTTCCAAAAGTTAAAATGTCTATCAGAAAGTGTCAACATAAAGCAATATAATTATTGACCAAACAATGAATTGTATTTTCATACTATTATATAAGTTTTGTAAACTGATGACTGACTGTCTCTCTCCTGCTCCCAGGAAAACCCTGGTTGGTCCAAAGCAGTGAGCAGAACGTTTTGACCTCTGTCCTTCCGGCACCGTGGAACTATGGGATCAGCCACTTTGGGAAAGGCAGCATCTCTTGACGCTCTCTTAAATGCGTGCATTCATGCATTTGGTAAGTAACATGTGAATGAAATGCAACCACGGCATATTACGCTTACAACCTGCATATTTTTGGAGAAATTTGCCTTTATTTGAATTTTAAGTAGGAAAACTACGGTGGCCCTGAAGTGCAAAACCCAACGAAATTAACTTCTTACGGAAAGGGTAGGGCCTTATAGCAGAGGACGGACCCTTGTGATTGCACAGACGGACTGAGTGTATTTTAACAGGAAATGATACAGGGCTCTCAAGTGTCACGCATTGAGTGTGACAGTCACGCATTTCCCCGAGCCGTGTCGGCAATAGCGTCCGCGGCACCCCCCCCCCTTTTATTTACAACACCTAAATATAATTGAACAACAAAACACCGGTAAAACAATGGTGACATACTAGTAGAACACTTTTAACACACTTAGTAAAACGTCCTCATCTCTCCGTGACTTTCTGCTGTGGCTCTGCTGCTGCGCTCACTTCCACCAGTGTTAATTTTGTTAACAAACCTTTTTTCCATGACTAAGACGAGACTAAGACGTGACGAAAACGATCTTAATATCTTAAAAAATCTATTATAACTTTCGTTAACGAGACGAGACTAACATGTTGGTGGTTGACGAAGTCACGATACTTTTTCCCCCTTTCTCTGGGGACGGCAGGCAGCGTTTCCTCGACTGGATGAGACGGTCCGTTACAGACGCGTCTAACATTATACACTCATTACAGGTTCTGAAGACAAGAAAATAATGTATTGCAACGGTTGTAAGACGTTAAGGTTAACGTAAGGTTAATTTCACAGTGGAAACAATAAAGGAGCATGAAGTTTCCGGTGGCCATGTCAAAAGCGTTGCAAGTAAACTAACAGACAACAAAGTGTTGCGTTTAGATCCCTGGTCCTCATGAAGTTGTTACACCTTTGCCAATTTGTTAAATTGCCTTGCAAATAAATGCTTTGCGATTTGTTAAACTCCAAATGCTTTCATGTAATAATTTTTCACATGTCATTTATATCAGCTCACACAAACACTTGAACCATTTGTTCTTGGCCCGGCTCCTCCGTCACATTTTACAACCCATTGTGGCCCGCGAGTCAAAAAGTTTGCCGACCTGCTATAGACCTGTCCTAGGAGGGACATCTAATGGACAACCAAGTACTGCAAGCTAGACTATTATGCAGCTGTAGACACAACACAGGGGGTCCTGGGCCTGAGAAGGGAAGAAAAGGAGTTTAATATGGCTATTAAATGTGACTAAAACTAGACTAAAACTAATTACATTTTAGTCTAGTTTTCGTCGACTAAAACTAAAAAGGATTAAAATGAATAAATGTGACTAAAACTAATAGTCTTAAGACGAAAAATGCATGAGACTATATCAAAAATAGCTGCCAAAATTAACACTGACTTCCACCCCACATCACAGGCTCTCAGTCCCGCCACTGATTTGATTGCCATAATATCTAGAAAGCGACATTTCTCAGTTTTCAGAATCCGATTGTGCAAATAGAGTTCTAAGGAATCCTCCGTGTCACTTTCCGTGCCGGCGAAAGGCTTCGGATTAAGAGGGTTAAAAGACAATCAGTCCGTCCAATCAGCAGGGTCCGTCCTCTGCTGTCTGCTATAAGGCCCTACCCTTTCCGTAAGAAGTTAATGTCATTGTGTTTTCCTATTTGCCGTTGTTTTGCACTTCAGAGCCACCGTAGAAAACACTGGGGTTCATTTTTTTTTCAGTTTTAGCCATTTCCATGGGATTTCTTCAGTCAAAATATATAGAAAATACAAGAATGACTCATCATAATAACATAGTATAACATACTGCCTGTTCAATTTACATTTGATAAAAGGTCCATGATAGACTTTTCTTCATAGATGACGATGGGGATCTGAAGGCCAACCTGCTTCCTCGCACCCTGCTGCTTATGCATCGCTGGTACATTACATCCTCAGAAATGGTGGGAAAACTACTGATGATATATCCCTTTCAGTGTGCTAAAGGTATGATCTACGATAAGGTGGTGCATTTACATACATTATACCTCACAGGAATTCCAATTCCCAGATTAAGATAGAAATCAACTGCTGTGCTAGCACACCATTTTCTTGCTGTGGTACTACAGCTAAAGCAATATTGACCTTCACCTAAATCAGATTCCTTGGAGCTGCTGTGTAAGTCTACAACCTTGGGAATAGGGAGCAGTTGGCTGTTAAAAATACATTGAGATATTGGGGGTTTAGTGTAACTCAAGGACACTACAGACCACTGATAAAGATATTAAAAAGATGAAGATCAGACTAGTAACATCTTAAATTGTAACTGCATCTAACGTGTACACACACACACACACACACACACACACACACAGTATTTTGTAATACAAGTCATACTGTAGCACTCTAATATTGAGACTGATTGCATATATAGTCTACAATTGAAGCAGACAAGATTATGGCAAGTTAATGTTAATTCTATATCTTTCATCGTTCCTCTACGAACAATTGCCGTGCCTCTATTTCCTCTAGAATAACCTTATAACAGGATGGCACAGAGGATAGTGAATAAATGGCAGCGCAGCAGTCAAGAGGCAGAGGGTGTCTTGAGACATTTTAATCAATCCATCAAAGAAACAAAATAAATCCCTCCAGTAATTCCAGCAGCCAGCAAAACCTAAACACAACGTAAGCGCCCTGGGCCGCTATCCGGTTTACCAAGGTCCTCTCCCCAAACTGTCTTCTTTACTACTCCTTTCATCTTCCTTATGTAGCCCCTTGACGACATGATCTTGATTAGTTCAATTTGACGCTCGTTTAGGTGGCCCGCCTTCCAAATATATCTCCCATCCACCACTCTGCCCCTTACACCCCCCCTTCAGATCAGGCCGGGGAGCAGCCAAGGTAAACAAGGAGTCTCTTCGGGACAGGGCATCTGCATTCCCATGCTTGCCTCCTGGTCTGTGGATGATAGAAAAGTTAAACTCTTGTAACGAGATCTTCCTACTTTTGCGTTTGTCGCTTTTTTTTATTGGCCATCCAGATTAGGGGAGCATGGTCAGTCACCAGAGTGAAGTGGCCTCCCCAGAGGTAATAGCGGAGGCTTTCCAATGCATTTTATGGAGAGAGCTTCTTTTTCTACTGTGGGATATCCTTGTTCTCTTTCGGTCAGTTTCCGACTGATCTATTTTAAAATGGGATGTTTCTCACCTCGAACTTCCGGGGAAAGAATACACACAACAATACAACAATAATCTCCCTGCTGAAATTAGGGGTCACTAGTACCGACTGTGAACAGAGAGCGCTCTTTAGGTCCTGGAAGGCTTGTTCCGCTGCACCCGTCCACTTAACCCCGAGTGGCTGGGAGGCTCCGGTCAAGTCTGTGAGGGGAGATGCTATCGTAGAGAAGTTTGGGATGAAACTGCTATAGTACGAGACCAGACCCACAAACTACTTTACCTGGGGCTTGGTGGATGGCCGCGGCCAGCTCTGTATAGCTTGGACTCGGTCTTGCGGCCTCACATTGCCACGCCCAATCGTGTAGCCCAGATATTCTGCTTCCTCCAGCCCAAGCTTGCATTTTTTGGGGTTGGCCGTTAAGCCGGCTTCACGAAGAGCTTCCACGACTGCTGTCAGCTTTACCAGATGGCTGTCCCAGGAGTCACTGAATGACGACATCTAGATATGCAGCTGCATACTCACGATGTGGCTGCAAAACCCTGTCCATCGGTCGATGAAAGGTGGCTGGGGCTCCATGCTGACCGAAGGGTAGTACAGTGTATTGATACAACCCTGACGAGGTGGCGAAAGCAGTCTCTTTCGAAGCTTCCGCCTGGGGTACCTGCCAATATCCTTTGGTCAGGTCCAGGGTGCTGATGCAACGGGCTTCTCCCAGCTGGTCAATCAGCTCATCCACCCTGGTCATAGGAGAAGCATCAAACAATTTCATTTAATTTCCTGAAGTCGTTACAGAATCTGTTTCTTCTGTCAGGTTTCGGGACCAGCACAACCGGGCTGGTCCACTCACTGTAAGATTCCTCGATCACCCCTAGAGCCAACATCTTCTGTACATCTTGTTCAATGGCTGCCCTTCTCGCTTCGGGTATTCTGTAGGGGCGCAATTTTACCTTCTTGCCCGGTTCTGTGGTAATGTGGTGTTCAATAATGGATGAGCGCCAAATCCAAATTCTGCTGGACAGGCTCCCTAGTTTGTTGTAGCTGTGCTTTTGATAAGCCAGGACCATATGCCACTTCAGCACCTACACAGTCTGGAGCAGAGGTGAACACATCCGGGGGACTACCACACAGAAGCAAATCTCGGGCATACATTTTTAGCAGGTTTACATTGTAGATTTGGGTGGTCTTGCGGCGCCCTGGCTGACGTACCTTGGAGTTGACTGGGCCAACCTTCTCTGCTACCTCGTAGGGTCCCTGCCAGGAGGCCAAGAACTTGTGGGCAGTGGTGGGAATTAAGACCAACACTTTGTCCCCTGGTAGGATCTCCCGAGGTTGGGCCCCTCTACTGTACACTCGCCTTTGTGCTTTAGCCATGTGTTCCCTCACCATTGGCCACACAACCTTCAGACATGCCTGCATCCTCCACCAGTGTAACATGATGGCACGAGGATAGTGAATAAATGGCAGCGCAGCAGTCAAGAGGCAGAAGGTGTCTTCGGAGACATTTTAATCAATCCATCAAAGAAACAAAAATAAATCTCTCCGGCAATTCCGGCAGCCAGCAAAACCTAAACACAACTTAAGCGCCCCGGGCTGCTATCCGGTTTACCAAGATCCTCTCCCCAAACAGTCTTCTTCACTACTACTTTCATCTTCCCTATGTAGCCCTTTGACGATATGAGGTCCAGGTGTGTCTCCTGGCACACCTGATCTTGATGAGTTCAATTTCTGATGCTTTTTTAGGTGACCCGCCTTCTGAATATATCTACCCTCCACCACTCTGCCCCTCAGCTCCTTACAAACCCATAGACGCCTTTGCTGTTCTGATTTCCCTGTTATCAAGACAGCATCATTTGTCAACGCTTTCCAATGTAGTTACTAATCCATTCTGAAAGGATATTTTGTTTGGTTTGGTTTAGACACAAAATCAACTTAGTTAGAGGAAACATTATGCTTTAGGTTTACATATGTGTTTTTGTACATAAGGTAAGGAAAATATAATTTGGTTCAAAGTGAATTCCTAAAATTGACCTTTTTTTTAAATGTAAACAAAAGTGATCAGTGGCTTCTATCAGAAGCCATTTATTGCCATGTATCTTACACATATAGAAATTGGTGTGAGATTAGAGTAAAATAAGGTCAAATGTACAAGCAAAAATGAACAACATTAATGTGCAATGTCCTGGGGATATAGTGTCCGGGTAAATGGGGTACTGGGACTTGGTTTATGTGACCGACTGATAAGGGGAAGAAACGGTTTCTGTGGCAAGAGATCTTGGTCAGAGGGAAGGTTCTAAAAAAGTCTGTGTCCGGGGTGAGAGGGGTTGGCTACAATCTTTTTACCCCGCCCCAGAGTCCTGGAGACAAACAAATCTCTGCTTGGCTACAGCGTACCAGACGGTGATGGAGAGCGACAGGAAAGACAATGAGTCAGAAAAAAAAAAACATTCTCAATGATTTACTTGGTTGTACGTCCAAAAAGTGGAAGTAGATGTGTGAGTAACAAAGAGAAGTTAAAAACATACCTACTCCCACCTCCACACATATTGACAATTACAGTTTAAAGTATGTATCATTGACGGATTGGACAGAGAAATTAAGAGGAACCTTAGCAGAGAACTGTTTATTCAGACGATGCTGTTTATTCACTTGTGTTATCTTTCTCTGTGTGTAACATCATCTGATGAGGGGGAAGGTGCGGTGTGTATTTGTTTTTGTCAGAGGGGATAGTTTTCTAGTGAAATATCTACTGGTTCTGAATGTCATATATAGAACAGTTAAAGCATGATTTAATTCTTTAATCCCTTATTATTCATACATTTGAGTGTATAGATTTGTCAAATCTTGGAAAAAGTCCTTAACTGAACCCCACGTACCGCGAGAGCAAAGGTGAGACCTGCCAAAGAACCAGGCTGAAGATTTGTTATATGATGAGGTAAGATCCAACATACACATTCATCCCAAACACATTTTACTCTGGATTCTTCAACCCCTGGGAAATCCACAACTACAGCGAAGTGCAAAAGAATGCTTAACCATTTTAGATTTGACCCAGTGTTAATTTTGGCAGCTATTTTTGATTTAGTCTTAGTTTTAGTTCCACGAAAATGCATATTAGTTTTAGTCACATTTAATAGCCATGTTGTAGCAGTTCTATCAAAAGCCTCCACCTGTCACATGTGTTTAGTAACCAGCTGACGTAATCATGTCACGTTAATTACCGCCGTTACGGTACGGTTTGTTACACAACAAACAATATAGAGATATAGAATTACACCCGCCAAAATGGCCAGTGAGAGAGAGATGCTTTACTCGCCACAGCCGAATTTCACCCAGATTTGGCGAGTCGGCGGGTGCTGATGTACCCTGACAATAAGTTTCCATTTAAGTGCTACTAAAAATTGAAATTAAAAAAAGTATTGTGACTTCGTCAACCACCAACATTTTTGTCTCATCTCGTTGACGAAAGTTAGAATATATTTAGTCATAGTCCTATCTGCAAAAAGCCGTGATGAGATCAGCAGCACACCAAACTGCGAAACCCTCCTTCCCCGACTACGCCTCGATATCCTTTTTTTATGCATACCACAAACCGGATAAGTGCCAGTGCAGTGAAGTGCAACCCTGGCAAAGTCCAATCCCCACCGAAAATAACTCCTGACTTAAGTCAAGTCAAGTCATTTTATTTTGTATAGCCCAGAATCGCAAATTACAAATTTGCCTCAGAGGGCTTTACAGTCTGTACACATACAACATCCTCTGCCCCGAAACCCTGCTGACAACCTGAACAAAACTCTCGCTGTCGGTGCACAGGCATTTTATGGCCACAAAAGGGGACCCTCTCACCCCACACTCCTCCACCACCTCCCACAGTATCTATCGGGGTACCCAGTCATACGCCTTCTCCAGGTCCACAAAGCGCATGTAGACCGCAGCATACTCCCAGGCTCATCCAGGATCCTTACAATTGTAAAGAGCTGATCAGTCTTTCCACAAAGACAACATCTGCATTGTTTGTCTTCAATCAATGGTTCAGAGGCATTTTTGTACTAGTTCCCAGAACAGTTTCAGCCGGTATCAATCAACAGCTTCAGTGGGGGAGGGAGAACGCACTGGGGAATATTGGCCCTTTAATAAGTCGTGGCACCAGGATAGCCCCACAATACGAATTACAGTACAGGCCGCCCACGGACCCCGGCGGTGGCACCCACCTTGCACACACACTCACAGACAGCGGCCCACGCTATAACAATTAGGACTGTCAGATTTTAATAACGCCCAAATGTGTCGAAAGAGGGAGGCATGCATCGTACCGAGACACCGAACGCCAGCAGTCCAGGCATACATCCACCCACACGGGGACATCCATGACCAAGACAGGGTCGCTATATGAAAGAATGCACATTAGTGCCGCATACACGGCGACACAGGACAATAAAAAGGCACAAAAGATGGGGAAAGTGCCCTTACTACACCGCAGCAGAAAGATGACCAAGGGCAGCGGCCAAAACATGAAGCACGCCTCCCGGACACGTCTCCACAGACACCCAGCAGGAGAAGACAACAAAACGAGTCCACCCACCACGGGCTTAAGTAATGTCCCCGCCTCTCCCAATCAATCGAAATTAGCCCAAGATATGCTGGTCCACACCCCTGTGTGCAGGTAAGAGGGAGGGGAAAACCCTCATCCGGTCACACCTCCCTAGTGAGATAGTAGTAGATTTTGAGTTAAAAGTAAAGGCTGGCGCATGCTTCTGCGTTTGCGTCATTACGCACCATTGGGTCAATGCACTTTTTTCAATTAGTGGTTCAAAAAGGCTTGCGTGTGTTGCAAAGCAGTTCCCCGCCAGAACAATATGTGGAGTAACGTTTTTTGTCGGAGACGACTTAGAGAGTCACGTCTTTGTGTATGGAAGTTGTTGGTTTGTTTATTTATTTATCATAGACTTTATTGCCCGGTGCATCGCCACTGCTGCTTTGCATCGCGGACACATTTGTCCCATATTTTCCTCCACAACTTTGTGCACCCCTCGACCGGCAAACCGACGTTTGCCGAGATCTCCCTCTATGAATCAGAAGCCATCTGCGCGTCCTTAAAGTCCGCCAATAACGGGTTGTATAAGTGGTCATATTTAGGGATTTTTTTCGACAAAAACTCTTCAATCTGATTCATTCTCTCGTAAACATTCTTTGTTTTAATAATGGCGGAATTGTGCTATGAAAACAGTAAATGTGAGACTCCGTAAAAGATGTAGTTAGCAGACCAATCACAGCCTTGCGGGCTGCAGGAGGCTTGCATAGCTTTTGACGCAAGCCTAGAAAAATGGGTCGACGCACGCAAGAGGTGTGAAAAGGCACGCAAGGGGCGCTTGCAGAAGCATAAACTAGGCTTAACAAGTCTGCGTTTCGGTTGGACCCATCTGACAGAATGAACCAACCTTTTATGGACTCTTTTCCCGAGTGCAGATCGGCCACGGTCGACACACATTCTGGAAGCTCCTGATTCCAGACAAACTCCTGACTTCGGAAAAGCCAATTTCGGCTCCCCTGATCCCATCTCCCCTCCTCACTCTTCCACCAAATAAATTGATGACGATGATCCTTTCTCAGCCTCGGTCTCTATCAAAGAGGGCGTAGTAGTTGAATTCAGGAGTGATCCAACCACCACCCAATAACTTCTTTAGTTACAGTCAACAGAGTCCCATCCTTGTATGATTCCCCGTTTCCCCCTCCTGAGGAACTGGAGGGTTTCCCAGAAGCACCTTGGTGCCGAGCGAAAGTCCTTCTCCACAGTTACACCGAACTCCTCCCGCCCTTCTGGCCTATCGGTGCCCTTCAACTGACTTCGGTGTCCCACGGGATATAATAACCTTGGGGACTCTTTTTTCAGTCAGATGGCTCCCGACACCAGCTCATTGCAAATGTCTTTTAAAAAAATGTAGCAATAAAGAATTAACTATTGCTTTCACCATGATAGAAACTGGTGACAAAACCTGCATTTTAACAACACTGCTTTTGTCACCTCACACTGGATGTGGACATACACAGTTCTAAGATCTGCCTTGATTGGTGGTTGATTTATTTTTAATCCAGTAATATTTTATGTCATGAAGTCTAATAAGTCAAATAAAGTTACTCAGGCCATACCAATACCCCAATAGAGTAACACATGTGAATCACAAGTCAAAAGGACACAAGGGTACTTATCTGGTTTAATGGAAAGTTCCATGGAGCTATGATTTTATCCTATCTCCGTTTTCCTATGTGTGTTCAGGTACTGGATTGTGACATTCCCTGCAGAGTTCAACCTGGACTTGGGTTTGATCCAGATAACAGAGGAGTTCAGGGATGTGGCTGCTCATCTGTCCTGTGAGGAGCATTTGAAGCTACTCGACATCTCCACCATGTAAGACACCAACATCTGATATGCTTGTATAAAAATCGTAAACTGACCCGATCCGTAATGCTATTATCATGCATATAAGCCAACAATCTATTCCTCATAATTAAATAAAACAAAACGCTGGTCTGAAAAATATCTAAGTGACCAGCTGTCATTATTTAGCGGTAAAACGTGTCTTTAAGGGTGCATTAGCCCAGTTTTATTAGTTGATGTATGATGTAAGTACCAAAATGATTAAAAACCCACATAGATATATCGCAAATCACCAATGAACATAGATAACTATACTGGTCATCCTGCAGCTTTTAGTTTTCAAGTTATAAATTGTTTGGAATCACTGTGTCACACTTTGTCTGGATTGATTGTGGTTATTGTTTATGAATTGTTCTCTCTTATAGTCCCTCATACGACTGGATGCGTAAGTTGACCCAACGCAAAAAGCAGCCTAAGAAAGGAAAGGCCTCACTGCTTTTTGACCACCTTGAGCCAATGGAGCTGGCCGAGCATCTCACCTACCTGGAGTTCAAGTCCACACGCAGGATATCGGTATATCTACAGACAGCTCAATTTCTGTCCAATGATTCCTCTTTTTGCATTGTAGCAAGTAAGGCGCTAAAGGGTTTGTCAGTCCTTCTTGAATTACTGAATGCAACCATTATACTTCATTTGAAAAAATAACAACAAAGGTCTTCAGTAGCCAAAGTACAAAAAAGCTGCAGAGCTGAAAGATCTCACCAAAAAATGACAGCTTATTGGCAGAGTTGATTGCAGGGTGCTGCCGGTTAACAATCCAGATGCTCACCGACTGGGAGGCAGGCCAGGCTAAAGACTGGAAGCTAGCAGTCCCAAAGCTATCAGAAAGGGAGCCCAATTTAATAAATTGTGAATTAGGTGAACTGTGCAACACTGATGATGATGATGATTCTAAAAATCTCTTGGGAAGCTGAACACCTGCTGTAGAGTTTTGATGTAAAGATATCTGGCCTCTGGTCGAACTCCGTAAAGGTTAATTAGTAAAAACGCCAGAAAAAAGTTGTATCTGTGCACAGGTGTTTGTGTTTGCCCCTGAAACCACTGGAAATTACATAAGATGCGTTGTTTCAGTCTGCGTAAGTTCCCACACGGAATGTGGCCGGAAATGGACTGAGGATTTTAAATTGACAAAACATCATTCAGTATCCGTGTGACCCCTTGATCTTCCCTTAACCACCATAAGGATACATTTTTCAGGATGATCCCACATTTTCTATTTAACAATTCTATGAACTTTCATTACTTACCATTGTCAAACAAAAATATTAACTTCACATGAAAGGCATTTTAAAATTCACCCCAAAAATTACATGGCTTTCAGAATTCCCCATGAAAATCAAAAGATCAACAAGGTTTAATGAATTTTTCTGTGAAAGTCATATGAAAATTATGAATTGAATGATTGATATGATTGAAACTCAACAGCTGGATGTCTGATGTGAAGTATTTTCCCCCAGTTTAATGATTACCACAGCTATGTGATCCATGGCTGCCTTGTGGAAAACCCGACTCTGGAGCGCTCCATAGCTCTGTTCAACGGAGTCTCGCAGTGGGTCCAGCTCATGGTGCTCAGCAAGCTAACACCTCAGACCCGGGCAGAGGTTATTACCAAATACATCCATGTGGCTCAGGTGAGACCGGAAAGATGCATTACTGTGTATACATATATATATATATATATATATATATATAAAATGTATATGTGTATATATGTATATGTGTATATATGTGTATGTGTATATATGTATATGTGTAAATATGTATGTGTGTGTATATATATATATATGTGTGTGTATATGTATATATATGTATGTATATGTATATATATGTATGTATATGTATATATATATATGTGTATATGTATATATATGTGTGTATATGTATATATATATACGTGTATATGTATATATATATACGTGTATATGTATATATATGCGTGTATATGTGTATATATATATGCGTGTATATGTATATATATGTGTGTATATATATGTGAGACATATATTGGGCCATGTGGCTGAAATTCAATACTCAATAGTAAGTTAATCTTGCATAATGTTGTATCGATATCAGGAAGTTCTAATCATCAAATAACGCATACAAATAGTTTTTTTCTAGTGAATGCTCCCCACTTCACTGTCCACGGGTGCTTGATTTTGTACAGCATAGGAAGGAATTAGTTGGCGAAAGGTTTTTTTATTTGAAATGGAACATGGTTGATGATGTCATTTACATGCACTGCGATGGATGGGACACATTTATTCAACAATTGCAGATGTGAAATGGACTCTATGCTGATTAGTCCGGCAATAGGTAGCAGACAGGTGGTAAAAATGCAGTGCATCACTATCATCTACATCTGTTGTAAGTTAATGTATGGAAGCACATGTCAGCAACTGAAAAACAGATCCTGTAAGTCATCATAATGAGATGGTATCTGAGACACAATGATGACTTTGACTCACAGGATATTACTATACGTGTAGCTGTCACTTTTATCCCTTTATAAACGCCTATGGTTTGACATATCTTTGAGTGGAGTAATTGGGGGTTAGGTGGCTTGCTCAGGGACACTTCGACTTTGCACAGGGAGCAGCCAGGATTCCGACCGCCGACCTTGCGCTGCACCGCACATCCTCCCTAACCCATGCGCCGCCTTCGCCGTCGTTAGGGTGGCTGGAATGTAAAGATGATAAATATTTGTTTTATTCAAATTGTTCATTGTCTAAAAGTAATTTGAGTGTCAAGCGTGACTGACTGCTCCTGAACGTGACGTCAGACGCGTAGTCTCAGTTCATCCAGAACACCTGTCAGTGCAGTTCAACAGCGGAGGATTTTCTCATTGCCTCGTCTCTCCAAGTAACGTTGGTAAGTGTTATTTGCCTAGCATGATTAACATTCTCTTTCCTTACATCTTGTTGCCTTCCTCATCTTTGTAATTTTAATATTTTACAAATGACAGTGTTTCTAAATATTTTATTTTGGTTTCTTTTACAGTAGCCACTGGACTAAGGACGCCAGCCGTTTGCTGCGGTCAATTGAAAGTGTTCCATAGCGTATTGTTGTTGTTGGTTTACCTTGTTCCTAATAATTGTATGATTGATGATTTTTTTATTATTGTACAGTATACGTGCGGCATATTTTATTTATGTTTTGTTCTTGGTTACAAATGTCTAACATTTTTGTCTTAAAGGCATCAAATAAACTCCAAGCACTATAACCGAAATGAGTTTAGTTGTCTTTCTTTAATTTGTGGGGAATTAAATGCAAAAGTATACAGTTATAAGTACAACTGTAACATTCTGGTATTTATAACACAAAAACAGTAATCGTACGGTAACAAACTGTAATCCAATATACGACAACATACCGTATATTACGGGAGGGCACTGTAAAAAAAACAATAAGTTACTAGCGTCAACTGACATTAAATGGCAGTTAATTCACAGTAAAATTGGTTCAAGTTTACGGTAACACAGTAATCCATTTTACGGTAACATAGTGTAAAACCATTTACGGTATTATACCGTAAAAAAGGTTAATTTTCAACATGTCATTCTGTCCTCAGAAACTACTGCAGCTGCAGAACTTCAACACTCTGATGGCGGTGGTGGGGGGCCTGAGCCACAGCTCCATTTCTCGATTAAAGGAGACTCACTCTTATCTGGCTCCAGAAGTTGTAAAGGTACTGAACACAAACAACCGGTTTTGACCCATGGGCGATACAAATACTTGCTTGCACACAAAGTAAGACCACCAAGGCTGGTCATATGAATTGCCATTCCATTCACATTGTGAGTTGATTAATAAACAAATCTGAAAATCTTTCCCTCCCCAGATCTGGAGCGAGATGACTGAGCTTGTCTCCTCCAACAACAACTACTCCTGTTACCGAAAGGCCTTCAATGAATGCCAGGGCTTTAAAATCCCCATTTTGGGTGTGCACCTGAAGGACCTGATTGCAGTGCATGTAATATTTCCTGACTGGGTTCATGACAGCAGTCAGGTGAACTTAGTGAAGATGCATCAGCTCTATATGACATTCAATGAGCTGGTTTCATTGCAAAGTGCAGTGGCCCAGGTGGAGCCCAACATGGACCTCATCTACCTGTTAACGGTGAGGGATTGCTTTATACTGTGTGTATATATATATTGTATTTGCCAATAACAATTAAAACTACAGTTGAGCGAGCGGGCAGGGACGTAATGTTTAACCATGTTATGGATGTAGACTGGACCTGGGACTCCAACAAATCCTCCCAGAACTGGAAGATGGTCCAGTGCTGTGACGCCGTCACCTAAGTAATTTCTGCTTACCACAGCGCTGGGCGTTGACTTGGGGCTACCAGATTGACTAACCACACCTGCCACCCTACTCACTTTAACAGGGGAGGAATGAAACGGACCAATGGAAAAATGCAGAGCCGCTCTCTAGGCCATGTTGAATGTGCAAAGGTTGCCACCCCCAGTGTATCTACTTGTTGTGCAAGTGGGAATCATGGCTGACACCAGGCCACAACAACTGGCCAACAGCCACACTCTGTACGCCATCCTCATCAGCAGACTGAACTATTACATTTAGCATTGTCACGACAATATTCATATGTCATCTTTTCAAACATTTAGAGAGAAATTAATGTAAATTCATGCAATAACTTTTCCAAGGATAATGTTTGGCACTAAGTTGTTAAATAATATAAATGTTTCATCTAAATGTAAATGTTAAATATAGCTGTGACGGTGTAGAGGGGAGAGGAATTTGAGTCCAGGGGAAATATTAATTTAAAAATAAATGTGTATATTCAACAGTAGGAAACTCATGATGCTCTGAAGGTTCCACCACTGTCTATCAGGGATAGCAACCAGAGGATTTGAGCTCACGACTCGGGAAACTGATGTCTAAGTCATATATGGGTTTTATTCTTAGACGTGGTAATAGACTGTCGAGGTTTGGTTCACAAAATTTGGGCACGACAAAGGTACGAAAGGGTCAGGCAGAGGCGGAATCTAAAAACGTAACAAGGGGTGCTGGGACGCTTGACAACAGTATAAGAGGAACTGTGAACAAACACCACGGAACACGCCACTTAGTACACAAGGAGAGGGTGAGTCAACAAGACATAGGTGGACACAATCGGGAAGGCCGCAGCAATCAGCGCACTGGAAAAACATGAAAAAAAGACTGGGAAGAGCATTACACCGGAAATGTCTGGGTTAGGCCAATGATAGCCTTGCATCTGGGTAAGGGCACAGTTAGTAACCTCTTTATGTAGGTAAATCTGTTTAATCACATGTCTGTGTTAGTAAAACAATTAAAAATGGAAAGAGGGAAAACCAAATCTTAGCCACCACAGCAAGACACAATAACTGTTATTCTACCACAAAGAAACATAACTGGCAAACTGAGATCCAGCTTTCGGTCGTAGTGTTTGAACCAGTAGAGATTACAGTTAAGGATCTGTTAAAAAAATTCTAACTCGACACCGGTGGGATTTAAGCACAAATGATGGACACCATCCATTCTGGGTCAAATTTGACAGCTGTTTTGACTAAAAGGATTGAGCATCAGCTTCTAACTGCTTGGCACCATATATGCAAAGAAGAAGGTGCTGAGAAATAAAATAAAATGCCCAAACCAAGGTTGACAGGACTATACAGATCACCCTGTGCAGTAGATTAATGGATGAGCACAAAATGAGAGCAAAACAAGCGAGAAAAAAATCAGTATTTTAACATTTTACACACAACACTCAGTATAGCCTAATACTTTCGAAAATAGTTGTAAGATTTTATTTGTGTGTTGTTTCTTACTAATTATATACCAAAAAGGATGAACAAAATCTTTGTGTTTTCAGCTTTCTTTAGATCTTTACTACACCGAAGATGAGATTTATGAGCTATCATTGCTAAGAGAACCACGTAACCCCAAATCATTGGTAAGTTTTAGCTGAAATGGTTTGTATTTTGTGTTCAGGGTTGAGTTCAGTTTTGTTTTAGCGCTTTCAATTCTACTTCTTTCTTACTACGTACAATTTGTAATTTGCAATTTTTGTATTTTGCTAAATTCTGTTTTTGTACTGTATCCTTTCTCACAGCATATCTCTCCAACAACTCCCAACAAGCCACTGGTTCCACTGGACTGGGCTTCTGGTTTCACCACCAAACCAGACCCTTCTGTAGTCAATAAACACATCAGAAAGGTCGTGGATGTGAGTAGATGGATCATTTTTTATGAATGCAGAAAACTACTCCTTTCTGAATTCTACAGAGATCTGTGTGTGTTAATTGGGTTTCTTGTCATTGTGAAGTCCGTCTTCCGAAATTATGACCATGACCACGATGGCTATATTTCTCAAGAGGACTTTGAGAGCATCGCCGCTAATTTCCCCTTCTTGGACTCATTCTGCGTTTTGGACAAAGATCAGTGAGTTAAGATATTAAAATAAGTGTGTTTTCTTTAGTACACCACCACAGTACGATGATGTTGTTTTAGAACATTTCCCAGTAAATCATAATAACCTTTCTGTTTCAAGCTACCTTTTTTTTAAACTTTTTTTGTCAGGAATTTTTTTGCAAAAGTTAAAAAAACACTATTTCATTCAATGTTCATAATTTTGTTATTCAATGAAAGAATAAAGTTTTACTGACAAATAGAATAATTAAATATATTTTTTGTATCTGAAATGGGGGGAGTGAAATTGTTTGTCATATATGACCGGGTAAATACAATTAATCATGCCAAAACTTCCAGTTTATTCATGTTAATTCCTGTATATTCCCATGGAAAGCTTATAACTTTCCTGGAATTTTGCAACCCTACCGATGACCATATTTGTTTAATCTTTTATAACTTTTATAACACCACAAAATTGTACTAAAATGGTAAATGCACTGCACTTGCGTATCGCTTTTTTAGTCTTCCAACCACTCAAAGTCCATAGTCCAAGTCCACTCTTACAGTACATATCATCATTCACCCATTCACGCAGTAATGACAGAAGCTACCGTATACATATACGTCACCTGCCCATCAGGAACGAACATTCATCCATCGTGTGGAGCTAAGGGAGCTATTAGCGGTCAAGTATTTTGCGCAAGGAGACTCCGACAGGCAGGTTAGCTTAGCATGACTGTGCTCTCCACTCACCCACAGCCGCCCAAAACGAACACCTGTTAAGGACTAACCTCTCTGTCTCTTTCTGCACATCTTTTATTTGTTCTACTTTTTCCACTTCTCTTTCTCTTAGAGATGGATTGATCAGCAAGGATGAGATGATAGCGTATTTCCTCCGGGCTAACCCACTGCTTCAGAGTAAGATGGGTCCAGGTTTCATCCACAACTTCCAGGAGATGACGTACCTTAAACCCACCTTCTGTGAACATTGCGCTGGATTTGTGGGTATCTCTTCAATTCTCTCACTGTACTTGTCCAGTATTCTTCAAGATCCTTATATCAATGGCACTGACAGCAGATTTTAACAGTCACAATCCAAAAATGGTTTTAGGGCTGACAAATGTTGAGTTCAGCCAAATGTATTGATTTGTTTGCTAGGTTGTATAGGATATTAGACACTCTGTTGTATGTTTTTGAAAATGCAACAGGCATACAGATTGTAACAGGAAATGATGTGATGACCCTGCCTTGTCTCCATGCTTCTATTTAATGTTATATTTTTGATTTTCTGAATTTACTTCTCTTACATGTCTGGAACTGCAGCTCTGGGGAATCATCAAGCAGGGCTACAAGTGCAAAGGTATTGTTTCATTACATTTTTCTGTAAAGACTTTCACTAATTACTGGATTAACTGTAACTGCTAATATTCATAGAAGCCTTACATTTAAATAAGGTTAACCTTTTTATATGTGTCCAGTATATCTGCATTGATTATTATTGATTTCCAAAACATATAGACATTCAGTTAAAATCATCAGTACTTCTCTTCTTATCATAATTTTAGTTTAAAATTAGGTTAAAGTCAATTGGGGAATCAGCTTTATTTGCAAAAGAGATTATTTTAAAATATTAGCCAAGGATTACTTTTATTTTATTTCTCTTTTTACTAGAACAGACTAGAATAAACTCTATTCGAATTAGGCAATATTTCTTTTTATTTGTTTGCTGGAATGGAACGATTACGAAAGCCTCAACAACTTTCAAACGATACTTCACTGAAATTGTAGTGGAATTGTTGTTTTTGGGGTCGCGGCTTTGTTATGGCCTCTGCAATACTTTGCCTTGGTTGTCTGTGAGCCATTTTGTCCCAACTTTTGATGGGCTCTCCTGGAAGACCTAATTACATTGAGATTCCAATTTCTAGCTAATGTTTTGAATGTATTTTAATTATTTGCACATAGTCTTCATTGTGAAAACAACAACAACTACTGTAGTGTGGGGCACTACAGAAGATAGTTGTTGTTGTTGCCAATTGGTTGTAACATAACCACAAAATGTAATTTCCCCTGCTGGACTAATAAAAGGATCATCTTATCTATCTTAAGGCTTAAAACCCCATGCTTCCCAGTTAGGTTGGTCTTTTTTGGATGGAAAACATCACCCATTTTCCTGTGTATCAACTCAAATCATTGTGGCAGTTCCATTTGTGGTCAATGGCACTTAAATTCTAACTATATCATTCCGTGTACCTCTCTTTTATGATGTTTGCATTACAGGTACTGCGCGTCAATAGACACTCTTTGCAGGGCGTCTTTTATAAACAAACATCTATTTTGAAATTGAGTTAATTTGACTGACAAGCAGGATCCCCATAAACTTCCATTAGGTGAGGTGGGATGAGCGGCTTGAAGATCTTGGGATCCGTGCCAATGTAGCAGTGGCTCATGATTTGGATGAGGTATCCCGGGTTGGACATTACAGGAGGCTTTGGTAGCGGCTCCTTTTCTCAAGGAGTGCCTGGTGTGCAGGTTGGAGAAAATGAGGAAAGGTTGTGGCGGAAGTGCTGGTGGAACCAGAATCTGGTAGCTACGTTGGTATATGCTAGGGCTTAAATGGACTCAGGGGACTGTGTCTTAAAGTAAAGACGGCTGTAAGCCGGCCTGATTGGTTAGTTTTTGTTTGCTTTAAGTGGAATGTTATGGTGTCTTCTGAAAGACAGAATGGGAAGTCGGATAGGCAAGCATAACGGCGTGTGTTGAAGGTGAGGCCCCGGCTATGATGGGGTAGATCTCGATGAGTGCGGAGGTTGCTAGGCAATCTCTCGCGAGCTCGGGAGGCTATTTTACCGTGAACCATCATCCGTTTTAGAAACCTCAAAGACCAACAAAATATGTTACCTTGTTGTGTTACCTTGTTGCGTTACCTTGTTGCGTTACCTTGTTGCGGTACTTTGTTGCGTTAACTGATTCAATTCAATGCAATTTATTTTGTATAGCCCAAAATCGCAAAATATAAATTTGCCTCAGAGGGCATAACAGTCTGTACACCTCTGTCCCGAAACCCTCACATCGCCACATTAAAAACTCCCCAAGAAATGAAAAACCCTTCCATGGGAAAAAAAGGGAAGAAACCTTAGTGAGAACGTCAGAAGGGTTCCCTCTTCCGGGTTGGACAGATTACAATGGATGTCATGTGTATAGAATGATGTACAATCATTCAGTTCTACCCTATAGCTTGAGCATATCTAAAACATAACTGGAACTCTATTATAACCAATTATTTTATGTTTTTCCATCTTTACACTTCCATTTACAATCTACCATATTTTCAAACACCTGCGCGTTTCTCTCATATTCTTTGAACTTTCTTTTCTCTACTTTTCATGGTTCCCTATTCCTTTCCCATCAAAATGAACCATCCGGTTTTTTGCATTAAAAGTACAACAACACGATAGGCACGACATACAGCAGAGAGTGTGTAGTGGAGTTCCTCCACGTGTCATAGCATGTAGAGGGGGGTGAGTGGCAAATGGACCACTCAAAGCACCACTATGCTAAGCTAGCTGCTAGGCTAAGCTAGCTGGAACAATTTGCAGCCTATCTCAGTTCAGAAGACTAAAAAACTAAAAACGGACTCTTTTAATGACTGTTTCCCTCGTTTTTTAATCAATGTATCCTACTGTTTAAATGTCCTTTCTCAGCTGACACTATCAGCACTCTCAACCCAGGGGTGGGCAATTATTTTTTCCATGGGGACACATGAGAAACAGAAAATATCGTGGAGGGCCAGGCCAAAAGGCTGAACTCAATTTTGCATAGTATTAGTTATATTTCTTTATAAAAGCAGTATATAGCATTGTTTTGACAAGCTGGTAAGACTTGTAAGAGTACTGCATGTTATGATCAAGCAATGAAAAAGCGAGGTTGCCTTCCAAAAAAACGTCATTTATTCAATAAAACACCAAAACAAACTAAATGTGAATGTTTTTACCATTATAGTCGCACGAGAATGGCTTTTAGTGATTTTGTGGGATATCATAAAGCTTAGCTTAGCTTGCAAAGCTTCCAATGCCCTCTGTCTTTTCAGAGTCAGTCAAGTTTTTGTATTTCTCCGCGTGCTTCGTCTCGTAATACCGACTCAAATTCTAATCCTTAAACATTTGCTCTCCGCAAACTAAACACACGGCTTTACCTCCGACTTCAGTAATTAAATAATTAGAAGTCCATTTTTGTTGAAAACGCTGCAAACCACATGAGTCCACATGAGTGGACGTTTTTGAGGGCTAAAGTCGTCTCGTGAGTTGTGACTGCTCATACACTTGATTCAATCATGCGCACGTATTTGATTTACATTATGCGTCATTACGTGAATAAAACACTTCAAAATAAAAGCACTGCAGCTTTAGTCCATGCAAGAGGTAAAATTAGAAAATATGTTTATTTTGTCATTTCCAATCAACCTCACACGGGCCAGTCAGAATCAACCAAAGGGCCACACAATGCCCAGGTGTGCTCTAATCCCTGTCCTTCCTCTAGCTGGAATCTGAGTCGTAAACTGGGAAGGCTAGGGGGCTGATTATCTTCGGTGGCAGCGGAGGTCGGTGGAAGAGAGTACATTTTAGGAGGTCATTTTTGGACTTTTTGACTGCAAAAAAAGTTCAAAGGAGAAAAAAAGATATTTCGGAATCTCTCCACCTCCTACTCGAGTTATTTCCAGAGCTTTCCATTGCATATTGCAATCTTTTTATTAGGTTTGCTCAGTTGTCTGTCAGTCTGTTGTGTATATTATATTAGGACCAGTTCATCATCATCTTGTCTCTCGACCACTTAAATCACTTTAACAATATATTTCATCATTCACCCATCCCGAACAATTCATACAGTAATGTCATTGGCTATCATGCAAGCCCTAACGGAGCCCATGATCTAACTGTCGATTCTTTGATTGAAGGACGGCCAGCTCTTCTACTGAGCCAAATGCCTCAGCATATTTACACATTGAACCCTAGTGGAATTTAGCTATGTAGATAGAATTAGCTGGGTGAAGCAATTTGGGTGAACTGACCCTCCATGTGCAACTGCTGTGATAAGTCAGATGTTCAAAACCTGATTCCAAAAACATGCTTCCCATTTGGCAATCAAGAGTAAGAGAAGTAACATCATTCTCTTTGCCTTGAGGCTTAGAACACTCCTGAATATATGCTCATGTGTCTCAATTTACTTTTCAGACTGTGGTGTTAACTGTCATAAACAATGTCGGGAGCTGCTGGTCCTTGCCTGTAGGAAGCTGATCTGCTATGCTTCTCCAGCCAGACTGACCCACAGCTCCCTGCCCAGCAGCCCGGCAATGCCCACCTGTAAAGGTTATTTCCAGCTACAGACAGATTTATTCAAAGGGACACAAACAGAATTGAAATTAATTTATAAATCAAAGAATTTGCATTACAAAGGCTTTAAATATGAGCTTCTTCAGTCATACTATAATGAAGAACTGATATGTTTATAATTTTCTGGGTTCTCTCCTTTAGATGATGATGAGGTATTTGAGTTCCCATCCGTCACATCAACACATCCAGCTATGGACACTCAGTCCATCACCCTGATGACTGGGTCATCCCAGAAGATCTCTGTGCGCTTGCAGAGGGCAACCACCAGCCAAGCCACCCAGACTGACCCCCTGTGGGCCGAACACAGCTGGGGGGCCACAGGTGGCGGCTCCCACACCTTTCCTAAAATGAAATACAGGACTAACAGAAAAACATCTAAGAACAAAGGTTTTTCCCGCTGGGAAATCCAGAATGACATGGGAGTTTCTTCCCGGTGTCACATGGACTCTCAGGATAAGTCCAAAGCCTCAGGAGAGCTTGTCCAGAACGGGAATACTAACCGAGGGAAGGTAAGGGAATTGATGAATTGATCATTCACCCATTGATTATTAATTGATGTATTGTGTAAATGAATCAAAGCGACCCTTGCAAACATAAATATTATTGACTGTATGATGAGGACCATATTTTGTCAAAGAACATCTAACGTAAAATATTCTTTGGGTAGAAAATAAATATGGGTACATGCCAAGTGTCTTATTTGCTATTTCATCGCTCCTAGTTCATTTCTTGAACTGGAAGTTGGTCTGTGCTGCTATATTGACAGCCGTCAAAAGCTCCTTTTTCTGCTCTGAGTGTGAGGATGCACAAGGGCGGCCTTCCAGGTGTTTTAGCGACAGACACGCCCCCGCATTGTATATCAGTTATTTAGAGGACGTTGCAGCCAATCGGACTGAAATGATTAACTCCAACATCAAGTTTTACATTTGACATGTTTTCTGATTCACTATTTACTGGTTTAAATATATGTTCACATAAGGTCTGAACAACAAAAGAACAGCAAAGAACTTTCTTAAACCTGTTCATCCTAAAGTGCCCCTGTGGGATGCAGTTGGGGTCAAGCCACCACATACTGTCAACTACAAGGTACTCGTCAAAAACAAATATAATAATGCCGCCCACCGTTTGAAACATTAGAATCTTTTTTACAACGTAACTTTTCAGTTTGAAATGCTCCAAACCCAACTCCAACAAGCCCTAGATGAGTGGAAATATACAACATAGTCCAAAAACGGCGAAACATTTGTCCTCCCATTGATGTTGCTACACGCTAACAAAGAAAACAAAACACAAAACAGCTAGCACATTCTGTTTTGTTGGAGCTAATTTCCAGCAGCCATCTTGTGATTCACAAACAATCTCTCGCCTTCAGATCAGTTTAGGGAGGTCAGGCGGGGATTTTGAAACGTCATTGTCGACGTCAAGGGGTTGAATATGCATATTGGGTTAGGGTTAAAAGCTGAAATTAATTTGAAATTGCTGAAAATACAGAAATGGGAGAAGCTGAAAGGAATTTCAATAGATTCGCTGAAAAAGCAGAAAAGAAAAGCTGAAATTAATTGGAAAAATTGCAAAAAAATACAGAAATGAATATTAAAACATTGCTGTTAATACAGGCAAAAGAAAAGCTGAAACTATTTCAAAGAACTGCTGAAAAAACAGAAATGGGAGAAGCTGAATTTTCTGCTGAATAGATTTTCCAAAAAATACAGAAGTTGCAGGAGCTTCAATGAATTTAAAGAAATACAGAAATAACAAAAGCTGAGATGAATAAAAAGGTTTTAAATTGTTTGTAGTAATATTAGTAGTAGTATTAGTTATAGTAATAGTACTTGTGGTATTAGTAGTACTAGCAGTAGAAGTAGTAATAGTAGGTTTAGTAGCAGTAGAAACAGCTGGAATACCAATACTATTAGCCATAGTAGTATTTGTAATAACATTAGTAGTAGTTGTAGTATTAATATCAGTAGAAATACTAGTAGTACTTTTTATTATAGTAGTAAGAGTATTACTATCAGTTGCAGTGTCACTACTAGTGGTAGTAATATTATTTTTAGTACTACTAGTAGTAGTAAGTAAATTTAGGTAATGCTAAATTTGTTGAAATACTCCTAGTAGTATAAGTTATGGTAGTAGAAGTATCAGTTGTAGTAGTACTACTAGGGGGGGCTAGATAGAGGGAGAGAGAGAGGAGGAGAAATAGACAGACAGACTGACTGAGTGAGTGATTAACAGTGAGAAGAGGTCAGGGGGGAGGGGGGCTAGTGTCTTTATCATATTGGTCTGTTGACAGAAAGCATAGCTGCGTCATGTGACTCCACTAATCAGGTCATAGGAGCAGCTGTGAGTCACAGACAGAGATACTGCAGCGTGTGTGTGCGAGTAACCACGGCAACGGCGCACCTGGGCTCATTAACGAGCTGCTGCAAAGGGCAGACACAGGACAGCGAGTTACACAGAATCCACACCTCAAACAAATGACGACCAGCGCAAAACTATAACAGCTATCTAAAAAATAACGGGTCTTTGAGAGACCCAAGACTCTAACAAACGCGACCATGTGTTTTATATGTCTGTCCGGTAATAAATACAGCTCCTGTGGCAGTTTACAAAACCTGTACATGTCGGCAGATTTGTATTGGAGACTATGGGGCTTTTGGCAGAGGTTGTCTCACTCTCACTCTCTGTCTCAGTCTCCTGAGGGCAAAACTAAAGAACTCTGGGATTCCATAGCCACATAACTGACACCAGCACAACCATGCCATAATTAAACCCAAAAAATGAAGCCTCAAAAGTGTATAATTTGGCTGTGAGGACAGAAGTTCCATATTTTTTGAACCAGATTCTGACGCTGCTCTACACTCTAGATCTCCAGCTCACCCTCTAACAAACACAATACACAGTAATGTAGAACTCAGAAACAGACCGAAGAACTAGTGAAACATAATCAGAGATTATGAAAAAAGACAGATATCAACAAGCAATAAAATAGTTTAGGCTTCTGTCAACATTTTAAAGTTTAAATAGTGGCTGCAGCTGGGTGATGAAGCAGAAAAATGAAAGTTGAAGAAGTTTAGGAGTATTTGAAAATGAACTCCATTGGAAAACCATGTTAAAATATTGATGATTATTTATATTAATTCAAGCATGAGTAGAGAGCTGAAAACTCATAGCACCCTTCTCCTGAAGGATCTGAATATTTAAATAGCAGAAAATCTGAAGGAGGAGAAGCAGTTCAAAATACGTACGGAAGAGATAGTTGGAGAAAAAGAATAAAGCTTAGAAGAACAATAGTCGGAAGGCTTTTAAGCATTGTGAAAAAAGCTAATTAGTTAAATGAGTTTCTAAATTAACCAATCAATCATCAAACACTATTAGGGCGAGAACTACAAATGAACACCAGTACACAGAATATACCCAATTAAAAAAGGCATACAAAACAATAGTTTAGTAAAAAATGAACAAATGAACACATTTTCTCTTCTTTTCCAGGACAGCTGACTTGGCCATGTTGATGTGGACCAGTCCCATGGATCCAGACAGCCCATGGCAGCTTGGAGCAGGAAGCTCTTCTCTTTGGGGGATGTCTTGGGCTGCCTGAGGTCCCCCTTAAGTGACCTTGAGCTATCACGTCCTCTCTAGACTTGGACCCAGGTTTGCTGTGCGGACACCATGTAGCTACTTGGAAGTACATTTTATGAGGTATCTGGTAGAAGTCACAAAGAGGAATAATGGATAATGGACCCCCACTGTGAATCACATGGAATAGCAGCTCCATCCTGTGCAGGGTAATTGGCTGGGGATCAGTGATCAGTGCACATTACTACAATGTAATTTACTTTGGCGTTTGTTTCAGGATGTACAGTACAACACTTGAAGAACTGAGAAGTAATATTTTTTCAAACTTCACAAAAGTGTAGACTGAATTTCAGTTGCCCGCCAGTTAGTTTATTTGAGCCCTTATATTTGAATATCAGACTAGGCAAATATGAAGTAAAAGCCTGATCTAAGGAAAGCCATCGTGCAAGTTTTTTTTTTTTTTTAACTTACAAAGTTGATCAGAAAATATATGGATATGGGAAAGTGTTTGAATATTTGTGTTTTGATGCATAAAGGGAACGTCAAAGTGAAGGTGAATGTAAAGGATAACCTTAACCTTTCCAACAAATGTAACGTTGTAATCTGTTAAATTATATTTGAGTGTTCATTGCCAATATTTTAATGTATTCTACATAACCTGCAATTGACAACTACAATGTGATTTAAAGGTGCAATATTTAAAATTCAGAACATTAATATAACCGCAAACTATTTGCTATTTAAAACTGCGCTCAGTGGATTAATGGCATCTTGATTAGAAAATAAAGTTCTCGTTATGTCTGCATGGGAGCAGATACCATGGTGACTGGCTCCGCCCCCTTACCATCAAAAAGAGCAGCGAGCAGAGATTAACCGGATCCGAGTCCCTCCGGCGTCATCGCGTCTGTGCATAGACTTCGTATGTAATCCTGAGGCGACTCAGTCGGTGGGAACATACCAGGGTGCATGCGTTTCACTGCAGAAATAAGTGTTGGGCCTTTGGACTTCCTGGCCTGACCCTAGCATTAGAAAAAGTGCATCCTTGTTGAAAAAATACACTGCCCTGGTTTCCCAAAATATATATTTTTAAATTTGTTATTTCCCAGAGTTGTATCCGGATGGACAATATATAGATGTAAAGAGAATAGTAGCAAGTACATTTAAAAGCAGTCACTGTTATAGGTACAGCGCCACTGTAAAGTGTTGCTCTTGGATTTAAAAAGGACCATCCTGCCCTTTCTCAAAACATTAAAACCATTTTTTTTTTAAACACTTTGTTGTTAACAAGATTCAACTGTTAGTATATTTGTTGGATTACTAGCAGTAAACTTAAGGAAGCATGAGTGAGACATAGGTAGGGAGATCCCAGGCCTTTTGTACTCAGTTTAAGTGGCAGCCAGGGGCCACATAAACCGCTATCTCTGCATCAAGTCTTTCATTATGCCAAGTCCACGAGTACTGGGACTTCACTCGTGCACTACTTGACATTGCAAAACAGTAAGTCAACTAGTTTTTCAAAATGACTTCGTATTGGTAAAATTAAAGACCATTTACAAACCATTTTTGTATTAAGAACTTTATATAAAAAAGAAAATTCCATTTGCAAGTAATGGCAAAAAGAATTTAAGTTACAAAACTGAACTGATACTAATCAAGCTTAGTTAGGAAGCATTCATTTTGAACTCATCAACTCCACCATCTGAGGGTGGATGCTACCTGATTTCCCTTAAACATTTAAAATTCCAAAACAATTAAACTGAAGAATAAGAAAAAAAAAACATTAAAAAAAAATCTTAAGTACCATACATTGCCAAAAGAAATCCGTAATGAGACTCATGTGGCTCCACGTCGGAGTTTAAAATACACAATAAATCAAAGTTAAACTAAATCGAGGATCTAAAAGCGGGACAGACAAAACCTAATGTATAAAAATAAAAAGCTTCAGAGCAGTGGCTGTTAACTGCTGACACAACTGAACTGACAACCAACCTCAATCGCCACAAAGAAAACTAAACTAACTGTGTGGGCCTACTGATGCTTTGCTGCATTATAATTTCCCTGGCATGCAGTCAGTCATCAGTTCACAACATCAATATTAAAATGTGCATCCACCCATCTAGATTACGTTGTCTTTGGTAAATTTACAGCATGTCATCATCTTCTCCTCCTCCGTACATGTCGGCCAGTTTCTTGAAGCGGGGACCCCATTCATTAAGGCAGTTGTAGTCCTGGTCTCCGCTGCTCGAGGAGTTCAGAGTGGAGATGCTTCCTGCGTCAGAGCCTCCTCCCTCGTAGTCAAACACCAGCAGGGAGTCGTAGGGGGGTGCTGTCGGGTCATTGTCTGCTGCCTTCAGGTTCTAAAAGAGGCACAGAATACATGGCCTCACTTAACATAACGGTTTCATATACAGGAGAATATGAATTAGGGTCTAATAGAGGGAGGATGATGCAACAAGTATCAAACCACATAAAAAAACATCATGGAACTTTCAAAAAAGTATTTGAAAACTCCAATGAGCCTCATTGACGTGGAATTTCTAGGCTGTATAGGATAAGAACAAAAGGTCTGAAATAATCGTGTGTTGCTACACACATTCCAATTTCAAAAATGCGCTAGTGTTAACCCATTTTAATAGGTTTGTATGAGCTCTTGAATGTTTGACTCACATCATCGATGAAGTTACCGATTTCCTCTGGGTTGGCGGGCCGAGGGCGGTACTGTGGAGCCGGCATGAAGTTTGGAACCACGTCGTTTCTGAAAACCTCGGGCCGGTTGTCCAGACCACGGTGGAGAACACCCAGATCATAATCCTGAAGGTAAACATGTGGGGTTACACAAACATCCTGCATAGTGCTGCTCAACTAGTTCCAAGTTTCATGGTATGTCAATAAAAACGTAGAGTACGACATTATTGCAACCCTTAAGAATGACAAAATTAAACTTTTTATACAAGTATGGTCAGTGAAGAATGTTAACCCAACTACTAAACATAAACTAAAGAGCTAAGCATTTAACGTATGATTATTAGAAATTGTCATTGTAGGCGTGTACTTCTTTTCTTCAACATTGTAGATGAGCAAACGTGTTTGTGTTCAATGTGACTGCTGCCTACAATTGATCCTCCTTACAGTCAAAATCTGCCGTGCTAATTTACCTGATCGTCCTCCCCGCCTCCTTCTTCATCATAGTAGTAGACGTTGTCTCTGATGTCGTCCTCTTGCAGTAGCGGTACCTTCTGCTCGCCTCGCCGCCGTCTCGCGAAAAACAGCAGCAGCAACACCAGCACTAAACAGATAAAACAAAGCTCAATACGACACACCCATGAAGTCCAACCATTTCCTTCTGAGCACAGATCTGAGGTGAAGGGCTGAGTTGGGCAAGTCAGCAGAATGACTTTGCTCATTTCCGGTCTGCTCGTGTTGGACCGTATTGAGCCCATGCGACTGTATACTAACAATATATACAGTCGCATGGCCCCTTATGTGCACCGTACTACTAAAAGGTTGGACCCCTTTTAACTTCAGAACTGCCTTAATTCTTTGTGGCAACAACGCAATGAAACATTCCTCAAAGATCCATATTGAAATTACGTCTACAAACTTGGATGCAGGTCACTTTGTTAAAGTAATAAGTCAATTCATTGTTATACCATAAATGTATAAACTGTAGTTTAGAAACAGGCACACATAAAAAAACATTGCCAATAATTTTTCAAGTTGGGCTCGTCAATGTAGTACTTAATGTCCGGCTCCATTTACTCATCAAAACAAAAGGAAATGAAGTTTATGGCTCTATAAGCTACAGAAATATCAAACAGGGTTCCAGCTATATTGTTGAGGTCTGGAACAACTTGTGTGTCTACAGTCCCTGGAACAAGGAAAAGCATATCCAACACCAAATATCAGACTTACTGAGCAGTAACAGGATGCCTCCGAGTATTCCCAGGATTACAGGCAGCTCAGAGCCAGCTACCGCACGCCCCTTGCAGGTCACTTCTTCCCCAGTGCAGTCACACACTGTGGCCAGGACGGTGCTGTCCTGCGCCATGCCCTGGTTGTCTGCAACCCTGAGGACCACAGTGTACTCGCCACTGTCCAGCACAGTGGCCAAATTCAGGACGATACCAGTTTCTGAAAGAGGAAAATTTACTTTAGAGGCCCTGCCCAGTCGTAGCGACCAGCAATACAATTCACAACAGTTGAAACATGTTGTACTTTTATCTAAATTAGTTTCTCCTGGCAATGACCATTTGACTGGATAGTTAAATTGTTAGACTAATGTGTGTAAACAAGTGTACATACTGGAGTCGTTCATCCTAGCAGTCCAGTTGGTCTTTGACGGGCCGTGTAGAGAGACGCTGTATGGAGCAGCAAAGCCCGGTCCGTCTTTATCTGTGACAGACAGCAGCTGAGGAGCCGAGTCCTTGTGACACAACTGAGGAAACGCAATGAGAGAAAGACCAGTCAACGTTTGCTCATGTTACTGCACGACAACTTGTGTGGGACCTGGAGACAGACTTTATAAAGTACAAATGACCGGCACAAAAAGAAAACACACTTTCAGTGATTCAGAGAATCAATAACTTATCAACTCCACCATCTGTAAGATTTAAAATGAAAATGCCCAAAGGACTTGCCACTTTTCGGTCCTCTGCAGCAGGCCTGCCTCCAAATGCTCCCAAACCAATACATGACAATATTTTCTTTAATACTTGCCATTTATGCCGTCACGCTAGATACACTAACTATGTTCAGTGGCTCAGTTTGATATGCTTACACAGGTAAAAGGTGCATTATATTTGACTTAATGGTCTTATATCCCCAAAAACAAGGAGATACGGTTTAATTACACTTTATACATTACCATTAAAATCGAACAATTTTATTGGGATTATTTATATACAGAGAGACTATTTTGCTGCAATATTTTCACTAATTGGACGTCTCATCTTCAACCTCACACAAGGAGCAGCAGCTGTCTGATAACCTCCTGAGAAAACCCATTTTGGCCCCTTGTACCTGTGACCTAGTTCTGTTGCTCATGACCATCGGTGAGGGTATGACACAACAGTGCAGTAAAGAGAGTGCAGCATTGTACAGTACTTAAACACACCCTTGACAGATTAAAAGTTGCACACAATAATTCATTTAATCTAGTTTGTGAAAGGAGACACACCCTGATTGAACGTTCCTCAATGGTGGGTGCATTGTCATTGACATCTTCAAGCTGGATTATCAGAGTACCAGTTCCTGTGGCTGGCACATCATCTGGTGAGGAGACACACACACACACACACAATTCTCAAGAAGTTAAATCATCAGTCAGATCTTTCCCCTAAAGCCGTGCAAAACAGCTTGTACAAGTCTTGCCTCGCACTTACCATTGTCGGATGCGCCAATGAGTGCTGTGTATTTGTTGTCCTTTACAAAGCTGCCCTCTCTGTCCATGAGACTCTTTACTTTAATCAGGCCAGTGTCTTTGGCCACACTAAGCCATCCGGCAGGGTCTCGGATTATTCTATACCTGAAAACAAAACCACAGAACATTAACATTCATGTAGACAGAAAACCTTTTGCAGAAACAAAATCAGCTTCATTCTAATATTCTGCAGTGAAACAACAAATTAGACAATAACTTGGCAAGACAAAAGTTAACATGTGGTAAAGGCTGTCTGCACTTTACTATGGAGGTAAAATGCAAGATTAAAGCACTTTATCCCTCGTAATAAATTCACCATCAGTAGGCTGAGCTGATATGAAGGCTTTCTCCTTTTGCCCTCAAGGGTTAGAGAATTCACACCTAAAGCGTTTGCCAGTGATAACTTGTGTTTAATTATTGTTGAAGACAACAATTAGAGTTTGATCTTACGTGACTATCTGTTTTCGTGCAGTGTCTGGGTCAGAAGCAGTGTACTGCACCACCTCACTGCCCACAGCGAGGTCCTCCCGCTTTGACACTTGCTTCTCTATTGGATTAAAGATTGGAGCTTCATTGACGTCCACCACAGTCACCACCACTGTGGTTGTGGCAGTGAGCAGTGGAATAGCAAAAGGAACCTCATTCACCACTGCAACCAGAAGAGTGTGCTGGGTGCTTCTCTCAAAGTCAAGAGCCTGTTGGATTAGAGGAAAAGCACAGGACAATTCATCAGGCAAATGTTTCACATCTACTGCTGGACAACCGGCTCTCAGATTCTATAAATCCCTTGCAAGGATTGTCATCTAAAAAACAGATGAATTGTTGCTGAAAATCATTTACAATGTCAAAACTGCATTTCCTACCTTGGCAGTAGAAATGATTCCTTCGTGTTTGTTACTTTCTGTTGTTTTCACAGTAAAAAGTCCTCCGGGATCACCAGCGACAATTGTGAACACGGCGTTCCAGGCAGCCGAAAGTGGCTCATCGCCATCCGTGACCGACATTGTAATGACATGAGCGTCGATTTTATTTTCTTCAACTGATGCCTCGTACTGGGAAGAAAGTAAGAGTTAAAAACAGGATTAGAAAAATGGTCAACTGAAACAAGTCCAAAACATGACAGATCTGCTTTGACTAGTCATGGTTTCTGAGCTAGGATTGGACACCGTCTCACTTGGGGAGACGTTTAGCCAATTGTAAATTTATAAATCTCCCGTCAGAATCATGTTGTACTTACCGCAGGCTGAGTGAAGGCCGGAGCATTGTCGTTGCTATCAGTGACCGTAAGGATGACTTTTGCTTCCCCACTCAACCCTTCTCCTCTCAGGTCTGCTGCTCGAACCACCAGAGTGTACTTTGGGTATTTCTGTCAGAAGAGACACAATGACTAACACACCTGGAAGGCATACACATTTTGTTGGAGCACAATCTAGAAAGGCAAAGTAGCTAAATGATAGTCCTATTAGCTCTGGCTTGTGTGAGGTTGCGCGATGGCAAATGTTCTTTGGAACAAAGATTTATAGTATACTTTCTACTCCACCAAGAGTCATTGATAAAGGTGCACGGTCACTCTGCTCCACTGCATTCTGTTGCACTACGCCACAATGTTCTTTGGAAATGCCAAATGGAAGGAAGCCGCAAGCTGTTGTGATTTTAACATACCATTGTGTTCTGCATGTGTACAGATTTGTGGCTTTACAAGACAAACATGAAATAACCTTGCAATGACTATCTGTGAATAAATGTCTGCAAGTCGTACAGTTTCTTCGGCATGTTTCCTGCCTAAGATGGTCTTTTCTAGCCAAGATTTGTAATTTTGAATCAATCCATCCATTGCTTTCCGCATATCAGTAGAGTTCCTGATATAATCTTTCCAATCGCACCAGTCAAGATTAGCAGATAGCATTTGGCTATCTAGTCTGACACTAATGATCAGCCATGTGAGCGCTCAATCAGTATGTTCATACCAATCTAACATCAGTCGGCACCAGAGACAGCACCAAAGACAGTCAGAGACAGACTATTAGAAGGCAAACCTCTCGGTCAAGCCCCCCAGCGTTGACTCTGATGACGCCAGTGATCGGGTTGATGGCAAACAGAGGGTCCGAGGGCAAAGTTGGATCCTGGCTCTGAATACTGTAGCGGATATCGGAGTTGTCATTATTTGGCTCGTCAAGATCTTTGGCCTCAATCTTAATCACCGTAGAACCTGGAGATCAGAAGTCAGGTCAAAAATAAGTACATTACATTCATGGGGGGGCTCTGGAATCTATAAAGTAATGTACGATCTACAGCTATGATGAATTGCATGTAAATAAAAAACTATAATTAGACCACTATCAGTTAAGAGTAATGACTAAAGGGCAAAGATTGTTTTTGATTTTGTCATCTGCCATTAGTGTCACCTTCATTCAGATGCTCACATATTTGTGAGAATATGAGTATTTCTTCAACTACAGGATGCTTGGAGCGGAGGATGATTAAAGGATAGAATTGCCATCCCTAGCAGAGCATATTATTCTGTGGGTTCACAGGTCACATAAGAAAAGGTCCCTCAGTGTTGGAGCAGGTTCTGGATTAAAGTCAAGTGAGTATCAAAGCTCGAGGGAAAACACAAGAACTTTAAATGTGGTCTGTCTTGTGAAAACATTGAACATCAACAGACATCTTCAGGCTGAAAGGAGATCCGTTCTGTACCTCCTGGTGAGCTCTCAGCAACTTCTCCCAGGAAGGTGCTTTGAGCAAAGACTGGTTTGTTGTCATTCTGGTCAATTACATTCACTATAATTTCCATAGGCTGTTCAGCGGTTCCTGCACCATCTGCCACAGCGTGTGCTTCAAACTGAATGGGACAAATACATTTGAATTATAAAACTGTATGATGATGAATAATCCATTTAGATGCTTTATACAGCTGGCACAACAAACATTTGTGCCACTGATTTCCCTCCAAATCTGTGATCTACAGGTGTTGGAAAGGATTGGGGTCAGTCCCCCAGGATCAGAGCCAAGGAACTGAGGTGTCTTCTGGATGAGTTTGAGCAGAGCGGCAGAAATTATAATGTTTACATACAACTACTGGTAGAGTTATAGTATGCGTGTTATGGAGGTATTTGTTATTGCATTATATTAAAATATCTTATTGAATGAATTTTATTTCTTTTGAGTAATTCAATACTCTACACATTAAATCCATAATGTCATGTTCAGCCTGGGCGAAGGGTGCTGAAAACCTCACAACCTGGGAGAATTTTGAATGTGCAGTCAATCCCATCTGGTTGTAAAATAATGAACACTACCCGCGAGAGTCGGGAAAAACGGCACGAAGGGCTTAGTGTTGCCAACATGGCGACTTCCTCACTAAATCTGGAGACTTTCCAAAGCCTCTAAGCATCAAATCTAGTGACTTTCTGGTGTTATTGGGGACATTTCGGACCAATAACAGCGCATTCTCTCCTACAGAGTCCATTACAAATAAGCAAATAGGGTGACGACGTCATTTAGTGACTTCCAAGACAGCCAGTAGCGACTTTCCTTCTTGAGGATTTGGCAACACTGGAGGGGAGAGAATCAGATACAGAATCTCTGGAGATCTACACTTTAAGGTCGAAATAGAAGAGACAGTTTGAGAAATAGTGCAGTCTTCATAGCGCATTTCAGTAGTAGAATCAATAGATGTCTGACATAACTATGACTATGTACAGGTTTTGACATCCGGGCCAGATTACACATTAAAGTTGAAGATTCTAACAGAATACATTCCCAAGGGAAAGGAGTACAAAGAGTCTCCATTTGCCTCCCCGGCTGATTTAGACGAGTCAACTAACATAAGAGGGTGCTTACCATGTAAGATTCTTTTGCTTCTCTATCCAGTGGTTGTGTGACATACAGATTACCAGAGTCTCGGTCTATGGTGAAAATGCCTTTAGGAGCCTCAGTAGCTCCTGGACCAGTGATGCTGTAGTAGATTTTCTTTACTTTATCTTCACTAGAACGGATCTGGAAGAAACACACCAGGCCAGAGTCATACCACGCTCACTGACCATTACATTAGTGACAGTATCGCTAAAGAGTTTTCCCCGTAGTAAAGAAGTACCACCGAGGTCGGAGTTAATCTGCATCTACAGAAACCAAGAGCACGTACAATGTTTTACATGGATACCAGATTTGTTTTAATAGTTCAGTCATAGTAGACTCAAGAACATCCATGCTTTCTGATTATAATTTCCACTGATAAAGTTTCTTCAATTAAGCCTTAAGAAAACCAGGTAATTAACTTGTTAAGTTAAATAAAAATGGAAATTATATACAGTGGGGAGAGAAGCATGAATTTACTGTAAAAAGGAAACAATAAAATAAAAGCAGGTAATGAAAATAGAAAAGTTTAGTATCCAATCCAAAGGGGCTTAGGTTCCGCTTACCTGAGCTACTTTTAGTGGGTAGGGTCCTCTGCTATTCTCAGGAACGCTTAATGGAGGAATGACCCAGTCTCTCTTCCTCCTCCTCAGACCTTCAACAGACTTGGCAAACTGCAAAATGGGCACTTGTTGATCTGTTGTACTCTGGAAGAAAAAAAGTACATTTGTAGCCAGTGAGACAGACTCTAGACATTGGATGGTTATTGATACGGCGGAGAACTACAACATAAACAGGACCTGCTGCCTAAACGTTTTCAGACTTAGCATATTTAAATTACAATTTTGAACTCAAGATTATCAGAAAAAGTTGTACATTATCCGCCACAGGTTAAATTAAAACGGAGGACCTTGTCCGTCTGCATTTCATTAGGTTTTTCAGGCTACAAGATTTGTATCGTCAAACTCAGCAGGTTGCAATGCATCAGGAGCAGCGGCGAAAAGGCTAACGACGCCAGCAGGAAGTCTTCTTGTAGGCCTGACTGTCTTATTTCAGGGACCGCTTGGTCTGACCTAAGCAGATGTTGTTGGAACCAGCCCATGTAGACCGGCTGGGTCCTCATGAGGATGCAGGTGACGAAACGAGACACAACAGCGCAGGATCGATCTCTGACCAAACACCATGTCATGGAGAGAATGTGCAAAGACGGATATACCAATAGATTGGGGGGGGGGGTTTAGAATATACATTTGGCCAATTTTAACAGCACTCCTAATACTAGGAGTACCACAGCATCGCTTTGACAGACGTACAGGATGCTAACAGAATCAAGCCACTGAGCCTGGGCCATTCATACACAGCCACAGTGGGGCAGTGTTCCACAGGAAACCGGTCTTTGCATGCAGAACCTTTTCACTGGCACACCTGCCTCTCATAATGTCAATAGTTAGAGAGCCTTGATAAAACACCAATTTGGTGTATGATGCAAAATATATTGCAAATCGTTTTATTTTAAGTATACTTCATGCCGTGGTGTACCTCGGTGTTTTCAGCAGAGTCCACTTTGGTGTGGCGGTGCAGATGGTTGTGGTGTTCGCGTTCTCCATGGTGACGCTCAACATCATGGTGGTGTTTCCCGTGGCGATGCCCATGGTGCACTACTTGGACAGGAACACTTATTCTGTGACCTTCTGAGTCCCAGGAATGGATAGTGAATTCCCGATGGCGATGAATATCAATCGGTCTTTTTACCTAGAGGGGGCGACACGGGAGAAATCAGCCCATGAGCAAGGGTCATCCTGCTGGTAATAGATTTGGGTTAAAGCATCTCCACATGTCAACAAACTCCTGAAGACCCAAAGCGTTGAAGATATTAAATAGCATCTGAGCTGCAGGAGGACCCAAAGTATAAACGTAGGAGTCACTTTTACTGTACTAGTTATTTTACTGTACTTTACCTGAATTGAGTCAAAGCATTTTGTTATTGTGTGCAACCACCTGAACGGTAGTTTTCACATATAATAATCATTTTAAAAAAGGCACAAAACAATGCGGACGGATTTCAGAAACAAGGGGAGAGTTGGAAACTGTACAGTCGAGGCTTTCGAAGTCTGACCTTCAACACGCCGTCTCTCTGCACTGTGAAATGGCCGTCATCGCTGTGGAAAGGAAAGGCTCTGCGCTCCGTGCAGTCAGAGAAGCCCACTGGAATTTCAAAGTGGAAATGATTAACCATTACAAATGCAGAACATTTAGAGAAAACAAAGAAACAAATAAGTCTTCAGCACCCAACACTAAAAGAATTCTACAAAGTCATTACATTGCTTACTGAGTTACTGACCCGTTGTCAGTGGTTGTTATATCCACTGTAGCAAGGTTGGTTTTAGAAATAGCAATCATTTTTCTATTATTTTACCTAACATTTCTTGTGCTATTCTCATTGTTTGCATCATATTTCTTATGGATCGATTATGTTGTTGACACTTAGGAGAGCCCAGTCTGTGGCTGTAC